ATAAATAAATAAAAAATGATATTGACAGATAGGAAAATCTTTCTGGGGCTGCTTATTATTATCAGTACTTCAAAATCATAAATGTTTTGTGGTCACAATGTTTCCTACAAACTATTCTTATTCACACATGAAAACAAAAACTTGAGTTAAAAATGATGTGGTGCTGAATTTATACAGTCACAAATATTTGTTTTTGTTTACTATTTTTTCATTCATTATTTGATAAATTAATTCAAGGAATAAAAAAAGTTTCTAGTAATTATTTTTAGTAGAAACTTTTTGTTCAAACTTTGATGATAGAAAAGTTTCAAAAGCAAAATGTATTAAGGAAGAGTATAATACATCATCAACATGAGAATATGAGAAGATTCATGATATCCACTAAAATGTTCTTAATACTCTCCTTCAATATAGCAATGTGTCTAATTTAAATTTCACTAAAAACATGTTACATCATCCATTGTGTGTCAGAGTTGCTTTGTTAAAAATCTTTTTAGAAATATCCAATAAAACTAAATCATGACAAGAAAATAAATAGTGATGATATATTTAGTTCTTTTTCTCTTGTATACAATCATCTATGAGACAAAAAATGACAATCTTCTATAAGATCTTGATTTTTATTTAGTTTTTATCAGATATATTTCAAATTTCTTTTTTTATGAGATATATCTATCATTGTGTTACTTTTTTTTTTTGCAATGTAAAATAAATACACATGCACACATTAAATAATTCCTTTTCATAATTAGTAAACTTATAAAATTATACAAATTATAAATATCTCTGACACTACAATTAATGTTTTTATGATTCTCACAGTTTACTCACAATACGTCTCGATGTTTGAAGTGAGATTTAAAACTAACTTTTTTAATATAATAAAAATATTTATCTAAAATTATTATATTTTAGTTATTTTATGAAGTAAAATCATTAAATTATTACGATCAATTTTATTTAATATTTTATTTCAATTAATAATAAAATTAACTCATCTAAACACTCTTCTTACTATTTAAAAAAAAAATCATAATTGAAAAACATTGTCAAAATTATTTAAAAAAAACCTTAAATATTAAATCTTCCATTATGTTAAATATCTTTAAAAAAACCTTCAATATTAAATCCCCACCCCTTCTTTCTTACATTCTGGAATTATTGCATGAAAAAATTTCACGAGAATTATTTTGTTTTTATCATTTTAAAGATTTGTGACATAATTTTTGAATAAATAAAATTTAATACTGAGCACCGAATAGAACTTTTTAAAAAATGAATTATTTTTTTATCATTATGAAGATTATTTGTGATGTAGTTTTTTTTACAGTATGTGATATAGGTCCTAAAGAACTTAAAAACTTAATATTAAGGCATCTTTGAAAGGTAGTTCAAAAAATTACTTTTCTGATTTTATGAATATTATTGTATTGTTCTTAAAATACTAATAATTTTATATAAAACATCACTAAATGAATGCAAAATTTATTATTTTTCTTTGTTAGAAAGATTTGGATTGAGTTTTTAAAGAACTGAACGGTTAGACTACAAGTGAAATCTATAAGATCTATTTAATTTTATTATAATTCAAAAGAAACGAAAAAAATAAGTCACAATGCTATATTTTTATGTCACTCTAATATGCTATTGAAGTAGTAAAATAGGGATATTTTTGAGAATAATTGAAAACTAGTCACAATTCTGATATAATAAAAGAGTGGTTCTTAATTAAAAATATGAAATGTCATGTATTAGGTTATATTATATTTTTAAAAGTGAATATTTTATATCATGATTTTTTTGATTTAAAACTATAGAAATTAAGATTATATTTGAGGGAAAAATACTACCCCATCCCAAAATAATTGTCGTATTTAATAAAATTATTTATTTAAAAATAATTATTATTTTTAATTTTCAATATAATTTTAATTTTTATCTTTTAATTATATTTTTTAATTAATGATTTCAATTTATTATTTTTATTCTATATTTGTGATAATTTGATTAATAAAATAATAATAAATAAAAATATTTTAGTAAAAATATTATTTTCTCTTTTATTTATTATATTTTTTTAATTCGTGTGAAAAGATTATGACAATTATTTTGTGAGGAAAAAAAATTTTATGGTTATGACTTTTACTAATTTATAGTTATTTGAATGAGTAATGAAAAAAAAAGTAAAAGATCAGCTATATATAGTTTCTTTTGTTTGATAATTTCATTTTTAAATTTTGTTCTCATATATTGATAAGATATGTGCCTTTATGTTCTAGGATTTTTTGATTGTAAATTTATTAAGATTGAAAAATATATATTTTATGATTAAATCATTAACTTATGATTAATTTTCATATCATTATGTTTTATATGAAAATGAATAGTTCAAATGTCAAGTGAACAAAGAGAAATTAATTGTTACATATTGTAACTTATTTTTTTATTAGTTCTTATTTCTTTATCTTCTTATCTTTTAATATTGCGTAACATATAATCAACTGTTAGTTAGTTCAATGTTGATTGACGTTGTACTTGGTAAAGAGAATCTAAGTTCAATCTTTCACCGTTACAATTGGAAGGAAATTGAAACCATTTGAAATACATTAAAGTGAGTTAATCAATTATTATTTTACTTAATTATATCTCGTTATATTGATTATTAGTTAACAAAATTAATTTTTACAATAGAGGGAGAGAATAAATATTTGGAGATCAAATGAACAATTTGAAATAAGTTATTTCAAATAATCAACATTCAAAAGTTCAAAAGGACATAGGAGAAAAAAAGGATCACAATCATAACAGAAGGACATGACATGGAAACTCTAAAACTAGAGAAATAACCATAATCGTTGTTAATAGACAATCAGAAAATAAGACTATATAAAAATTGATACAACACATAATAATATCCTAAACTAACCCAGACCCCAATACACTCACACCCTATAATATAAATATTTAACTATATCTCACAACACTCTAATACAAGAGTGAATAAAGAAATTCAAACACATGCTTAAATCAGTGGCGGAGCCAGAAAAATTATGAAGCCTGGGCAAGTTTTCATTGACTTCATAATTTTCTATCAAGACAGTACAATGCTAATCCCAAAGGAATTATTTCCTTGAATTGCAATTGCCTCTTCAATTTGTAAGATTTCGGATTTTATAATATATACATGTTAAGATTTCGGATTCTATAATATATACATGTTACAGTATTTCAGGTGTGCTCACAAAATGAACAAACCTATAAAAGCCGAGAAAATTAGTTCAACACGCTCATTTGTGTGAAATTAAGTACTGCCTAAAAACACCGCTATCAATTCAAATTCCAAATAATGTTGTCAAATGCAGATCGGCGAAATGGTGGTTTGTTAAAATTCTGGTATGCTACAATGTTGTAGAGCCACTATTTGAGAACACATTGTACTAAGTAGCATAACAAAAAACAATAGGGATGTGATCAAATTCCGCTACACTATAGTACAATAGCTATAACTGCTATTTAACAACAATGATTCTAAGATATCCCAATCTAAGTTATCAACAAATAAAAAATTATGATAACAAGCCATACCTTTCAATAGTTCTTCTGGAAAACCATGTGGCATCGCTTTCGTGCTCAGGCACAAGAACAATTGAATAACCAACCTTCGCCTTTTGATCTTGAGCAACCTTCAAGTGGCAGTGAAAGGGGTTGAACAAACCTGAAGCTATTTTCTCCTTCTTTCCATTCACAGTAATGACCAAATCAAACCTAATTTACACAAGAGCACAAAATCACTTGATCAATTAACTCAGAGATTAATCAGTGATATAAAAATCATATCATATGTATAAACAAAATATAGTTTCTGCAGTAAGTTTTCTCATTTCTTAAACTAAATTTTTATAACTGCATGTAGCAACTACATACATTCTCCCAATAAAACTGTACTCCTTTTTTTATCAATCTTAAAAAAAAAATTCCTCAAATGATATTTTTACAGCTCAGATGAAAATTCTAAAATCACTGAACTAGAACATTTCTTAAACGAAAGTACCTCCTCTTGAGCTTCCTTGGAACAGAGGCACAAATTAATCCTCTCCAATACCTGACCATTTTCTAAAATATATCTGGCAATACTTAATCCACGCACATGATCAACAAATTTTTTAAACTTCAGCACTTTAAGAGTATAAAGCAAACAATGAGGCACAATTAGAGAATTCATCAGCATTCCATCAAAATATATCACCTAGAGATCAGAAAAAGAAAAGTAGATTTTTTGAAACCAATAAAAACATTGGGCTCTGTTTTAAATTTTAGAAATTAAAAATGACAAACCTTTAAAACTGGAGTTTTCAAACAGGGTGTCTTTAGGAATTAGGAGTATGCTTAACAAATATCTCTCTCATTCATACTAGTTATAAATTAAGTAGATCATAATTTATATAAAATCAACAAAAGTAAGTACATTTTCAATAAGTTGAAATCCGTTGATGAATGTTATCTAGTTCTAGTTGGTGTGAGCTGAAACACAATTGAATCCAGCCTTGTAAGTTGTAACTCACTTTGTTGTTTAAAAGAGCTTGCTTCAAAATCTCGATTTTTAACACTATCACATGGCAGATATGACTCGAATAAAAGAGATTGCTTCAATACTTCTTTCTTTCCTTCAAAAGTTCAACAAGTGAAATAATCAATAATAATAATTCAGTACCATAATTCGTAAGAAACAGATGCGAAAAAGAAAAAAAAACTTAGTTGAGGCAATTTATCGAACAGTTAGTGTGCAAGTTGCAAAGCGGTGGTAACAACAACAATTTGATACTGATGCCATGGCCAATCTATGGACAAAAATATCCATTTCAAATACAATTAACCTCAAAAATACAATACACCTAAAAAAAAGATCAATTCCAAAGATTAAAGTGCTGCATAATAATCCAACGCAAAACCAATTTAGCGACTAACTTTTTTCTTAACAACATAAAAATATGATTAATCAATTAATTATTTGGAGCAAAATGATCAAAAGCTAATATACGAATCAAACCATCGAAGCTAACGCCTCCGTTAACATCACCACCGCCAAGTCTAATCATAGCGTTAATATCTTCATTTCTTGCCTCAAACCCAGCCAAAGCCATATAGTTCTTCAAATCTTGATAACCAACTTTACCGTCACCGTCTCTGTCCATCACCTTGAACACATCTTCCATGGCTCCACACCCTAACGGTCTCTTTTCATCGCTACCGCTAACAACCTTCTCGAATTCCTCGTACTCCACGAACCCGCTCATGTTCGTGTCCGCCACCGACATCATCACGTCGATTGCGTCATCACCGCCGCTAACTCTGATGCCGCTGTTGGTGGCGTAGAATGAACGGAGATCCTCGCGGCTTATTTTACCATCGCAATCGGTGTCGAGAACGTCGAATGTCGGGCGGAAATCGGATGTTGGAGATTGTAGACGGAGCCTGGGCAGCTGCCCTAGCTGGCCGGACGCTGGCTCCGCCAGTGGCTTAAATTGTTTTTGATTGATGCATCTTGGAACGAAGAACTTGAATCTTATATATAGCCTTGGACTCCCTCTTTATTCACTAAACTAAGCAATGTGGGACTTCTTCAACATGTATATTTTCAATCAACTACAATAATCTCCACCTTGATTGAAAATAATACATAAGCTTACATAGTATTCTCCGACAATCATACTCCATCATAAAGAGTATAGTCACTTACAGCTACGCCACTCTAAGAATTTTCACATTGTCTTCACCGGCAATCATAGTTTTAAAAACTATCATACTCTACCTAAAGAAGAATATACTTTACTTGAAGCTAAACCACTTCAAGAATTTTTACTTGTCGAAAACCAGGTTGAAACTTTATGGTGCAGCTTCCTTGTTAGCAGGAAGCTCTTCAACCACGGACATAATCTTTCCCCTTGTATAATCTTGATTGTATCAACACATCTTTAACTTGAACTTTCCATAAGTAAAAAACAATTCTTCCAACAATTTTCTCTAGCCCAAACAGCACATCGGAATTTATGACTGTAACTCAACAAATCTTTTACAATAATACCCTTCTTTTCTGATGTGGTAGATCAGAAAAATTTACAACCACATAGCATATTAAGAACTCCATTATATAACCTTGTACTCCCTCTTCATTCACTAAACTAAGCGATGTGAGACTTCTTCAACGTGTATATTTTCAACCAACTGTAATAATCTCCACCTTGATTGAAAATAATACATAAGCTTTCATTGTTTTCTTCAACAATCATACTCCACCAAAAAGAGTATAGTCACTTGAAGCTACACAATTCCAAGAATTTTCACATTGTCTTCACCGACAGTCATAGTTTTAAAAACAATCATACTCCACCTAAAGAAGAATATACTTCCCTTGAAGATAAACCACTTCAAGAATTTTCGCATGTCGAAAACCAGATGGAAACTTTATGGTGCAACTTCTTTGTTAGCAGGAAGCTCTTCAACCACGGACATAATCTTGCAACTTGTGTAATCTTGATTGTATCAACACATCATTAACTAGAACTTTCCACAAGTCACAAACAATTCTTCAATCATTTTTCTCTAGCCCAAATTGCACAGTAGAATTTGTGACTACAACTCAACAACTCTTTTACAACATTACCCTTATTTTCTGATGTGGAAGATCAGACAAAGCTGCAACCACAAAGCATACTAAGAACTCATATTCCCAGGTCGAACCAAAAGCTCGGATACCAGTTGTTGAGAATAAATAAATAAAGCATAGAGAAAAAGAGAAAAACAATCACAACACAACGATATAACATGGAAACTCCAAAACCAGAGAAAACACCATGATCGTTGTAAATAGACAACCAGAGAATGACATTATGTGAAAATTATTACAACACATAATATACCCTTAACTAACTCAGACCCCAATACACTCACACCCTCCAAAACAAATACTTAACTACATCTCCGAACACTCTAATACAAGAGTATAAGAGAACAAAGAAAGTCAAATACAACCTTAAAGTATTTTTTTACTGGTGCATCTTGGAATTAAGAAATTGAATCTTATATATTGTCTTGGACTCCCTCTTCATTCACTAAACTAAGAGATACATGACTTCTTCAACATGTATATATTCAACCAACCCCGACAATCATCACCTTGATTGAAAATAATACATAAGCTTTCATTGTCTTCACCGACAATCATACTCCACCATAAAAATTATAGTCACTTGAAGCTACCTCACTCCAATAATTTTCACATTATCTTCACCGATAATCATATTTTAAAAAACTATCATACTCCACCTAAAGAAGAGTACAATTCACTTAAAGCTAAACTACTTTATGGTGCAACTTCCTTGTTGGCAGGAAGTTTTTCTACCACTGACATAATCTTGCATATTTTGTAATCTTGATAATATCAACATGTCTTTAACTTGAACTTTCCACAAGTAAAAAAAAATTCTTCTATCAATTTTCTCTAGCCCAAACTGCATAGCAGAATATGTGACTGCGGCTCAACAACTCTTTTCCAACACTACGCTTCTTTTCAGATGTGGAAGATCAGACAAAGCTGCAACCATAGAGCATATTAAGAACTCTTATCCCCGGATCGAACTAAAAGCTCGGATACCATTTGTTGGGAATAAACAAATAAAGCATAGAGAAAAAAAGTGAAACACAATCACAACACAATGTCATAACATGGAAACTCCAAAATCGGTGAAAAAACCATGATCGTTGTAAATAGAAAACCAGAGAATAATATAATGTAAAAATTGTTACAACACATAATATATCTTCAACTAGGCCAGACCCCCAATATAATCACACCCTCCAAAACTAATATTTAACTACATCTCACAATACTCTAATACAAGATTATAAGAGAACAAAGAAAGTCAAATACAAGTTTAAAGTATTTTTAACCGGTACATCTTGGAACAAAGAACTTGAATATTATATATAGCCTTGGACTCCCTCTTTATTCACTAAACTAAGTGATGCATGACTTCTTCAACATGTATATTTTCAACCAACCCCAATAATCTCCACCTTGATTGAAAATAATATATAAGCTTTTAAATTGTCTTCACTGATAATAATATTCCACCATAACAGTATAGTCACTTCAAGCTATACCACTCCAAGAATTTTCACATTGTCTTTACTAATAATCATAGTTTTAAAAACTAACATACTCCATCTAAATAATATTATACTTCAATTGAAGCTAAACCACTTCAAGAATTTTCCCATGTCAAAAATCAAGTTGAAACTTTATGGTGGAACTTCCTTGTTGGCAAGAAACTCTTCAACCACCGATATAATTGTGCACCTGGTGTAATCTTGATAATATCAACACGTCTTTAACTTGAACTTTCCACAAGTCAAGAACAATTATTTCATCAATTTTCTCTAGCCCAAACTGCACAGTGGAATTTATGATTGTAGCTCAACAACTCTTTTATAACATTACTATTCTTTTCTGATGTGGAAGATCAGACAAAGCTGCAACCATAGAGCATACTAAGAATTCATATGCTCGGATCAAACCAAAAGATCTGATACCATTAGTTGGGAATAAACAAACAAAGCATAGAGAAGAAAAAAAGAGGAACACAATCATAACACAAGGACATAACATGAAAATTTCAAAACCGGAGAAAAAACCATGACTGTTGAAAATAGACAACCAGATAATAACATTATGTGAAAATTGCTACAACCCTTAATATATCCCCAACTAGCCCAAACCCCCAATATACTCACACCATCCAAAATAAATATTTAACTACGTCTCAAAACACTATAATACAAGAGTATAAGAGAACAAAGAAAGTCAAATACAAGTTTAACGTGTTTCTTACTGGTGCATTTTGGATCGAAGAACTTGAATCTTATATATAACCCTGGACTCCCTCTTCATTCACTAAACTACGCGATGCAAGACTTCTTCAACATGTATATTTTTAACCAACCCCAATAATCTCCACCTTAATTGAAAATAATACATAAGCTTTCATTGTCTTCACCAACAATCATATTCCACCATAAAAAGTATAGTCACTTGAAGCTACACCACTCCAAGAATTTTCACATCGTCTTCACTAACGATCATAATTTTAAAAACTATCATACTCCACCTAAATAAGAGTATACTTCCCTTGATGCTAAACCACTTCAAGAATTTTCGCATGTCGAAAACCGGGTTGAAACTTTATTGTGCAACTTCCTTATTGGCAGGAGGCTCTTCAACCACCGACATAATCTTGCACCTCGTGTAATCTTGATAGTATAAACACGTCTTTAACTTGAACTTTCCATAAGTAAAAAACAATTCTTCCAACAATTTTCTCTAGCCCAAACTGCACATCGGAATTTGTGATTGTAGCTCAACAACTCTTTTATAACACTACCCTTCTTTTCTAATGTGAAAGATCAGAAAAAGCTACAACCACAGAGCATACTAAAAACTCTTATCATAGGATCAAACCAAAAGCTCTGATACCATTTGTTGGGAATAAAAAAATAAATCGTAGATGAAAAAAGAGGAACACAATCATAACACAAGGACATAACATGGAAACTCCAAAACTGGAGAAAAAACCACGATCGTTGTAAATAGAGAACTAGAGAATAACATTAAATGAAAATTGTTACAACACATAATATACCCTCAACTAGCCCATACCCATATACACTCACACCCTCGAAAAATATTTAACTTTATCTCACAACACACTAATACAAGAGTATAAGAGAACAAAGAAAGTCAAATACAAGCTTAAAGTGGTTTTTATTGGTGCATCTTGGAACGGAGAACTTGAATCTTATATATATATATATATATATATATATATATATATATATATATATATATATATATATATATATATATATATATATATATATATATATATATATATATATATATATATATATATATATATATATATATATATATATATCCTTGAGCTCCCTCTTCATTCACTAAACTAAGCGATGCAGGACTTCTTCAACATGTATATTTTCAACCAACCCCAACAATCTCCACTTGATTGAAAATAATACATAAGCTTTCATTGTCTTCGTCGACAAGCATACTCCACCATAAAATGTATAATCACTTGAAGCTTTACCACTCCAAGAATTTTCACTTTGTCTTCACCGACAATCATAGTTTTAAAAATTATCATACTCTACCTAAAGAAGAGTGTACTTCATTTGAAGCTAAACTACTTCAAGAATTCTCGCATGTCGATAACCAGGTTGAAACCTTATGGTGCAACTTTCTTGTTCTCAGGAAACTCTTCAACCTTTGATATAATCTTGCACCTTGTGTAATATTGATAGTATCAACATGTCTTTAACTTGAATTTTCCACAAGTCAAAAATAATTCTTCTATTAATTTTCTCTAGGCCAAACTGCATAGCAAAATTTGTGACTGCAGCTCAACAACTCTTTTACAACACTCCCTTCTTTTCTGATGTAGAAGATCAGACAAAGTTGTAACCACGGAGCATACTAAGAACTCATATCCCCAGATCGAATCAAAAGCTTTGATACCAGTTGATGGAAATAAACAAACAAAGTATAGATAAAAAAAAGATGAACAAAATCAAAATACGAGGATATATCATGGAAACTCTAAAACTGGAGAAAAAATGACGTTTGTTGTATATAGACAACTAGAGAATAACATTATGTGAAAATTATTATAACACATAATATTCCCTCAACTAGCCCAGATTCTCAATACATTCACATCCTCCAAAATAAATATTTAACTACATCTCATAACACTCTAATACAAGAGTATAAGAGAACAAAGAAAGTCAAATACAAGCTTAAAGTGTTTTTTATTAGTGCATCTTAGAACAAAGAACTTGAATCTTATATATATCCTTGTAATTCCTCTTCATTCACTAAACTAAGCGATGCAAGACTTCTTCAACATGTATATTTTCAACCAACCCCAACAATCTCCATCTTGATTGAAAATCATACATAAGCTTTCATTTTCTTCACCGATAATCATATTCCACCATAAAAAGTATAGTCACTTTAAGCTATATCACTCCAAGAATTTTTACATTGTCTTCACCGACAATCATAATTTTAAAAACTATCATACTCCACCTAAAGAAGAGTTACTTCACTTGAAGCTAAACCACTTCAAGAATTTTCGCATGTCAAAAACCAGGTTGAAACTTTATGGTGCAACTTCCTTGTTGTCAGGAAACTCTTAAACCACCGATATAATCTTACACCTTTGTGATACGGTGGGAGAACTGACTATGGTTTTGCGTTTGTTTTCGCAAATGTTTCGGTTGAGCAAGAGTCGCCACCGACCTTTTATTTTATCCTAAGGAAAGGTTTAAAAAGCACAGCAAAAACCTTTGAGATATTTTCTTGGGTTCGGGGAGTAGATTATAGAAAGGGAAGGTATTAGCACCCTTTCTATCCATGGTTATCCATGGGCTCTTAGTTACTTGCTTAGATCAACTTGCCTTAATTTTCAATTGTTTGAAATGGTGCTTTGTGTGTGTGGGTTTGAAAATTGTTTTGAAAAGAGGCCAATGTGGTGGCAACCTTTGTAATGATCCATATTGGGATGTATACAAAGGTGTATGTCTTTTGAAAAAGTTTTCATTTGTTTTTGAAAGTTTGTTTTGAAAGTGTTGTGAGGTGTGGTTTTAGAAAATAGGCAAGTGTTTTGTTTTTGCAAGTTTGTTTCAAGTAACTAAGAGGTCATCTACTCCTAAATTTCTCAAAGACTATTGCTATGTTTTAACCCTTTTAACAAGTTTGTTCCACCATTGTATTTGGTGGACAATCTCATGTTAGGATGTGAAAGGGACGGGCGCGGGTCATCGTTTAGACCATAATTGCAATGGTGCCAAGTATCTTTGGGCAATTTTCTTTAAGGGACTTGATCATTTGTTTAGGCAACATTTTGAAAGCGTCATCGAGGGACTATGATCATTTGATTTTTTGTTTTGCCCAAAGAGACCTAACATGCAATATGGCCCATTTGTTGAAGGCAACAAGTGGAATACCCTAGGGGGTGCAAGTGTGATTTGTGTGTCCATTTTCATGCTTGTTTATCTTGAAATTAGGTCAAACTATTTTTGTTGTTTTTGATTCGCATACAAACCCTACTTCTAACATGGTATAATTAGAAAGCAATAAAGTGCGAAAAATAAATTTACTAAACTATTACAACACAATATATGGGAAGGGGAGTACAAATGTTCAAATGGGGATTTTTTGACAAGGAATTTAAACCTAAACTATTACATCAATATTGAATTATTTACAAGATATTTAATTGCACAAATTAAATGAAATAAGAATAAATATGCAAGATGCAAAAATGGTTTTTGTATGTATGGAAAAGAGTATTTTTATATGTCAAAATAAACAAAAATAAAAGTATTATTTTTTGGAGTTTTTATGTATTTTAGGGGCAAAACCCTAATTTTATTAAATAAAAGTATATATTATTCAATATGTACCATACTTATTATTATATACTAAAATAAAATAAAAATGAAGTATATTTATCAAAAGGTATTTTTTATATTAATAAGAAAAATAAAAGTGTGTATATTTGGTAATTTAACCTATAT